AATGGTTAAACTCTACCGCTCATTCGTAAGGCAGATTCCCCTGAGAAGAATGAGCAAGAAACTCTAGGGGTTGCTCTTTGTAAATAGCATTTACAATATTTTTTTATTTTTATTTGAAACATCAGAGATCGAGACTACCTCCATGAGCTAAACGGGTTACTACCACGGATTTTTGTCATCCAAGTACGCAGAAGTTGTATAATAACCTTTAGTATAAAGTTTTTGTTTCACTATAGTTTTAAACCTCGTGAAAGGCAAATTTTGTATATCAACCGGAATCTTGTTATAGAAGCGTATACATTGCCCCTTAAATGATTTTTTGACTTTGTGAAGACGACTATCAAGAAAAGCTAGTTTATTTCTATTCCTCGTATTAATGTTATGTCTGTCACTATTATTATCTATTTGCTATATAGTTTTACTGAAATCTGTTTACGGAAAGTGGATGAAATCAAATAAACCGGAATCATGCAATAATTTGTCACCCTAGAAGTGAAACATTTACTTCAAATTTGAATGAGACTACTATTGAGATAGGTACCTCCTTTTCAACAAAGCAAGAATCATCGAATTCAGTTCACAAATGTCGGAGTAATACCTCCATTTTTTGAAGTTCATTATTTTAATACTCTTTGATTTCCTAGGAATCAAAGTGAAAAGCAGATTTTTAACTATTTTTATCTAGTAGTGGCCTCGTGTTCTACAATAACACGCTATCCCATATTTGGATGTCCTATCCTTCCATTGTAACGGAGGCACTTGTGAAATCGTAAGTTTAACCGCGGCTTTTATGATTTCTCGGGCCGTAAACTGCACAATGAAATGGTCTAGCCACCATATAAACTCCGTTGAAGTTTCGTGAATGGGCTCACGAGATGCAGCAAATTCAGGTTGATAAACCTTAAAGCCCATTAACAAATCATGCTTTTACAAAATTTACTAAGGTTCGTAAACCTGTTTGAGATTTTTGCCTTAGTACCTACTATGCTACTTTCGGTAATTATCATTCGGTTTCAAAAACTGATATGGTCTTGTTTTCGTCAGTTTTTACGAAGGAGTTTTAACGGCGCGCAATGAATCAGAATAAAGCGTCGCTCTGATCCTAAAGTAAGTAACTAAAGCACTTGTGTTATGGAAATCGGAAACAACGACAACACTACAAACACCCAAATCCGAGACAAAACAGAAAAAGATTTTTCTATATTGACGTCGGAGATCGAACCCGGGACCTCAGAAATGGCGACATCGTGAAAACCGGTGTGCAAGCCACTTTGCCACCGCGGTTGTCAATTGTGTTAGGTGCTACTTGTTTTTTTTTTTCAGATTATTTTGAGTTGTTGTCGTCATAACAAAGAAAGCTGATTCTTTGTTATGACGACAAAAGCTCTGCGCTCAGCCCGAGCGACGAACTTTGGTAATTAATAGAGCCTGTGTTAAATTACTTTCAGAACTTATTCGACAATTTCTCATTTTCGACTGCAACTTGTAAGGCACGGTACTAAAGTTTAATTAATTTAGGGATGCGTAACACATGTAGACTTGTACACTTGGCGTGTAAGGATACCTCAATACTGCTGTTATTCCGTAGATAGGCACCGTTACTTAAGCCACAGCTAGCCGACTAGTTAATTGCAAATGTAAGGTCGTATCAAGGTCGTATGTGGAATCCCTTTGTCTTTGGCAAAAAACTCCCAGACTGTATGATGTCATCTGTTTTGAGTTTTGGACTTGTTTTCATAGTGCGTTTTATTTTGTCCTAGTTTCGTGTCTAAGACGGACAAATTAAAACTCGTTTCCTTGTTAGCGATTCTTGGAAATTGTTGAGATTAGAGAGACGAGTTTTCTGTTCTTGTATCCCCATCAACCATTATCAGGACATGATGCCAGACAACCTCACCAATTAATCAGGTTTGAAACGGGAATTCTCTGTACTATGGAATACTACCCAAGACTCATTGAGGAAAGTTAGTTTCCCAAATTGGTTCTACCGGAGATCGAATCCCGGACCTCCTCGTCTGCGTCCACAGAGCAAACCGTTGAGCCACTGAAGTCTTAATTCTATTTGGCGTGTGTTAAGGTTTGACTATTATTGCTATGTAGTTGATGACAAGTTTATACTTTTGTTGCTTATTCTTTTGTACACGACGGTTTTATAGGTGTACCAGAATCTCATGGCATTAAATATTAGAAAAATCAAACGACTTTCACTTGACCAAGTTAACTTGTCACATGTCAATTCAAAATATTACTTGTGTGAAATGGCTGTCTGCTAAGCTTTTTTCACTTGAAAATAACGATTTTGTAGCAATAATTGCTGAGAATCCGCTTCAATCTCAAGCAAAAATCATTGTTCAAATCACGTTTGTTGCAAAATGAGCGACGAATTAGGTGCATCTATCTAAGTCACAAATCACGATTTAGAAGCGGGCCTCAAATCCTGCCGATTTAATACGAGGAAATGAACTTGATCTTTGAAATTTTTATAAAGCCAAATCAAAGTGTGAGTTATGTACTTTTTGTTGGTACTGGTGCTGGTCGGCAAGATTACAGTGTGTAGACAATAATATAATTGTTAAAAAAAGATAAATGGCGTAAATACGAGATCCTTCAAACTGCAAAGGTAAATAGATCTATCACCTACGATGTGAGTGATATATTTTTATTAAATTTTAAAATGTTTTACTCACACAAATTCATACAGATCTTAAAACGTCCTATCCTCGTACAGGATAGATCAATTCTGGTCAATTAAAATTTTGTGAAGTATCTAGTACATTTTTTTTACTAAATTAATGTTGCCCACTACAAATGTAAATTTGTCTAAGTGCCATCAGATTCTGGTACACCCATCTTCCCCAGTAATGTCCAAGAGGACCTTGTCCTTCGCTGAACACCATCCGAACAGCTGATTTGTCAATCTCAAGACACTTCAGTTCTGTCGCGTACCTTGCAGGCAACCCGAATTACACACTACAGAAATGGCGCACTTAATTTTTTGTTCGAAAATCGTAACTTTGATGTAATTCTTAGGGTATAGGGCATTGACTTACAATTATATGGACGTCGGGTCCGCGCTAAAAAGTGTCCGCACTTGTAAGGCGCTAAAATCGTATACAGAGCGCGACACTCCGCTTTAGTCTTCATTTGTTCTACTGACAGCGCGATACTGCGATGACATTACAATTTAAATTTCGAATAGGTTGACTTGGGACATTTTTTTCGTGGTTTTTGTATTAGACCCGTCGTCCATTTATTTGTAAGTCAATGGTATAGGGCTATAGGATCCGAATAAAAATTCAGCGTTGACCGAAACTAAAAAATAAACATTTTTAAAAACATCGCAACTGTTTACCAACACGCGCATTTTACTCTTTCGTCCGAAATTTTAATTCCACGGAAGGGAATGATTAATTAATACCCCGTAAGTAAAACTTTAACGACTCCTCTTAAAAATTTGATTGACAGCACGAATATGTTTTTTTTTTTCGATTTGATTGACGATCTCCGTGGTCGAGTGGCTTGCACACGGTTTTCATGGTGTCGCCATCTCTGAGGTCCCGGGTTCGATCCCCGGCCGGGTCAATGTATGTCTCGGGTGGCTGGGTGCTTGTGGTACCGGCGTTGTTTCCGGTTTCCGTAAGTGCTTTAGTTACTTGGGTCCATCAGGATGGCTGAACCAAACGAGATATACAAATCAAACTGTGCTCATTATTTACTACCTATTTTCTACTATTTAGTACTTTTATTGACATATTTTGTACCTTTGCGCTAACGGAAATACTAAAGAAATAAAATGGCCAGCCATTCTGACGTCAGGTTGGCTGGACCACTATACGTTTTTCATGGTTCTAGCAGTGTATGTATAATTTACTTTTTTTAATATAACTATTTACTACCAAATCTCTAATTTCAACCTAAACTTTTTTTTTTCACTATTTTAGGAAGCTTCTATATAAAGTTATTTTTTAAAAAAGATAAAACGCCTTTGCAAAGGTATCTTCTAAAAAAAACAGTTTATCTTCTCCGTGTAATTGCTTTATAAATAACTGATTATATATATATATATGTAATAATTCGTTCGCATTCCTTAATACCTACAAATGGAATTGACATTAAAATTTGTAATAGTGAATTCAACAAGTAATAAAATTAATATATTAATTGTTATAGAATATTGCTTGCAAAGATAATCCAGAAACCATTGTTGGCATATTCTAAGCGCCTGCAAAGGTATTGTTAGCAATTACACGGAGAAGATAAACTGTCTTTTTAGAAGATACCTTTTGCAAAGGCGTTTTATTATTTTTTTAAATAACTTTTTATAGAAGCTTCCTAAAATAGTACAAAAAGTATGTTTAGGTAGAAATTAGGTAGTAAATAGTTACATAAAAAAAAGTAAATTATATACTCCGCCCTCGTAACGAAAAAAGGCACAACTATGCGTACTTTATACACCAATTATGTCTTTTTTCGTTCTGAGGGCATTACAGCTAGAACCACGAGAAACGTGGTCCAGCCAACCTGACGTCAGAATCGCTGGCCACTTGAATTCTTTAATATTTCCGTTAGCGCAAAGGTAAAAAATATGTCAATAAAGGTACTAAATAGTAGAAAATAGGTAGTAAATAATGAGCACAGTTTGATTTGTATATCTCGTTTGGATATCTCGTTTGGCCAGCCATCCTAACGGACACGCTTACTTTGGGATCAGAGCAACGTATGTGATGTTGTCAAATATTTAATTCAGATTCATTGCGCCTGGAAAGTTCCTTCATCTCAAATCACGAAAACATGACAATATATATTTTTTAAACCCTTGAATAATTACTCAAAGTGGAATAGCACTCAGGCTAAAATCTCAAACAGATAATAAACCTTAAGTAAATTTTGTCAAAATGAAGTAATTATTTCAAAATGAAATCATAGTTTCACCTTAAGAAACTACCTTTTTATAATTAATAACCCAAGATATGACAATGAGACACTGATTTTTGTTGCAGGATGCCTACAGCAGTGCCACCCACGGAGAATGGCGCACCGCGCAGCGAGCTCGAACAGCTCCAAATGCGAGCTGGACAGGTCACCGATGAAGTAAGCATTTCTCTTTTTATATAAGTTACTCTAAAGCCCGGTACAAACGGCAGATGGCGGGGGAGACCACACTAATATCCCTTACGATACTGCAAGCATCCGCCGGTGTACCGCAGAGTCCCCTTAAATGCCGCTGCATCCGCTGACATGCCATCGGTCGCTCGGATTTGATTCCGTTCCATTAGCTAATACGGAATCGAAAAATCCGTCACTTACCAGCGGGGGCAACTTCCGTCACGGTATCCTCTAACATGTTCACCAACAGGGGTACTGGTGAAATTACAGGCACTTGGGACTTGTCAACTTGTCTCAGGGTGACCGGCGCAGCGGTACTGCCCCTCGGATCTTTGCGATTGAAAACTGATTGGCACTGCAATTGTTATAGCGTGTCGCTTACCACCAAGCGCACCACTTGCTCGTCCCGTTGCTTGATATCATAATTGATGAGAGAAAATTTATAAATTCTATTTCCTGAGCGTTCCTGTCCGCCGGCTTCCTTTGACCCTAACACGAAAGATAAGGACCTGTAAATAGATCGAAACATTGCTTTGTTTGAATAAACAAGCATACGAAATTTCGAATTCGGAAAAAATTGTTTTATTTCCAATGCGATTGCAAAATCGCGAAAAACCTAAGAATTTGGTATGAAAGACTAAAACTGTTGAAATAAATTGGACTTGGTACACTGGTTAGAGTAATTCTTGTGCGTATGCAGTGGGTTCCATCGCTCTTCATTTACCGCAAACCAGTGGATCTACTCTCGTTCGACATTCGAGTCGAGTATTACTTATTTGACAGTAATGTTAAAGACGGAGAACGGGAATATCCAATATCTGCACAGTGTTCCGGAGGGGTAACGAGAGCTATTCTATAAATCTTATATCGCACGGCTGTGAAGGAATTTAAAATATTTGAGGAGCAGAATTTATGTTCATAAATATAATAAAGACGGAAACGAACAAAAAAACCTTTTATTTTGAATATTAATTCTAACTGAAGACATGGAAACGATAATCTATAAAACCTTGAACATAATTATGTTTGACTATCCTCTGTAATCCGTATACTTAAAGTAAACAGCGTCCCTATGTTAAGGGACTTGCGAGGGTTTTGTTAGCTCTATTTATCGAGTATTAGAAGGCAAATAATTGTTAAACAAACTTCATTAGTATTGACGTAAGGGTTGTAGTTATTTTAGCTGTTGTAACTTTACGTAACTAATTTTTGTTTTTGTCTGTTGACGTAACAATTAATATAATAGTGACACAGCCACCGAAACAGTGAATTTATTGCGAACCAAATTTCCCGATCGCATAATTTCACGAAATTCAGCCGTTAAGTGGCCAGCTCGAGCATGTGATTTAACACCGCTGGATTACTTTTTATGTTAAAGACATAGTCTATACGGAGCCAATCGAATTGATTGTAGCCTTAAAACTCAAAAATCGTGAAGTGATTAACCAAATGGACCCACCATTTTGTCAAAAAGGTATTAAAAACTGATAAAAGAATCGACATCTGTAATTGTGGTCGTGGTGGACATTTATCAGATATATTTTTTCGTTCATAATTGCCAAACCTTACTTTATTTCATACAATAAAAAATTGAATCATTGTCATCTAAATTTATTGTTTTATTTTGCTTTACAAAACAAAGTTCCTATTGAAAAACCCTAGAAATTTATATATATAAGTTTGGCTTTTAAAAAAATCGGTAAAAGCAAACTGGAATAATGCGTAATAGAAGTTTTCTCTCTAACATGTAATAATAGGCCTGTACCAAATTTCATCAATATTGGTTCAGCGGTTTATCCGTGAAAATGTAACAGTGTTAATTTCGCATTTACAATTTTATTTTGGATTTGAACTGATGAACTGATTTATTTTACATTTCAGTCCCTGGAGTCCACCCGGCGTATGATGCAACTATGCGAGGAGGTGAGATCGAATTATCATTCTGATGACGCTAGTCATGTTAAGATCTAATTATAAGAATCGTTAACTACCATCATATTACCTCTACACCGACGCACTCACAAACATGATTCATTATGAAATCATATCTTGATTTAAGATTTTCCGTAAGATCGAATTCGGTGTATATATCTAAAGGCATATTATGGTAGTTCTTAATTTTAAATATATAATTAAATATGTCTAATTGTACTTACTGGGAGTGACATAAAAATAATGTCGAGAATACCTCCTAAATTCTTTTATAAAGAATATTCAATTTGATCATGATAATATCCCCATGTATTTAATTTTTATTACCAACTTCTTATTGTATGGTTTCATAAGAATTTCAAAGGACCCTGTCTGTCCCTTTTCAAAACGATTTTGGCATATCGATTAATATGTTAATTCGGTTTTGGACCCAAATGTGTGTTAATAAAATTTCATTTTGCAAGCGTTCGAGAATTGGAGTCTCCATATAAATGCTAACTTAGAATTTAGACTATAGAACTGTGCGGATTCGTTCGTAGACGCGTTTCAGTTGTTGGAATTTATGTTCCCCATAGTTTGTTTATGTTTAGTTTTGTTGGTTATATGATTATTTGTGATCATCTGTGAGAGAGGTGTTCTCGATGCGAGGGAGTGAGGGGTGTAGCGGAAGTGTCTTGGATAGCCCCGAGCTCGGTTTGGTCTCCGACGCCCGTCTCCCGTTACCCTTAGGGCGCAGCCTTCGCTATCCCTGGCTGTTGTGTATCGATGTCGCTACATTTTATTTTGTTTCTCCTATCAATGTCTATGTATGTATATTCGTAGCCGTCTGTTGAATCCTTATTTTTTATTTTATTTACATCCTTCTGCAGATTTATGTGATATATTTTGTTATAATCATATATATATATATATATGTGTTGCATGATCCGTGCCTTACTGTGTCCGACAGTGTTAGAGACCTCTATAGCCCTTTGTGTTGTTTGTAGTAATTGTATATTTTGAGTGAATAATGATAATCTACTGGTCGAATCGGAACATGGTGCCGACGGTTAATCAGGTTATCTTACAAAAAACTTTGTGTGACAAGTTTTTTATGAAGTTTGTGTATGAAGTTGAACCGAAAAATAATGTTTGTCTCAAAAATTAACCGTCGGCTCCTCAACAAATCAGCTCTGATGCGCTGTTTTTGGTTTCAAAGCATGAACCCCACTGTTAAATTAGAACGTCTCCAGGCCCACAATAGCGATGAATACTTCTCTAACGTTAGTGTTTCCTTTAGCATTGACGATCCAATATGCGCTTTTCCGTCCAATTGATAGTCTTATCCATTGTGCTTGGGCTTGCTTGAAATAAACCCTTGTACGACTTGGAAGCCAACTCTTCTCTCAACTAATGTCTGCCTACAAGGCTGCCTTCCTTTAATGCACTCTTTCGTTTTAAATCTTCCTTTCCGCTGTTTAGTCCTCTCTTGTCTCCAATTTAATCTCATGTTCAATTTTGTTGTGCCCTATCAATTCCTTTATTTATAACTTTCGCTGAGACCCTGACACCAAACTATACTTATGTCTTGGATCTAATATGGTCAGTGTATATCCGTTATATTTTTTCTGTTTTATTTAACTTTGTCTGTATCTATGTAGGTCTCTGTGTAGTGGCTGCTCTCTGTTGTTGACTGTAATCTATTATGTTGTATGATTTCATGCCTTCTCGAACATTCACAATACTGTCAATATGTGGGCGTGAACACACCCCGTACCTGCCACTGAACTCCAACAAATATATCGAGCTACACCTTATCTAAACTCTCACGACAAATACAGACCAATTTATTATCTGTATTTACATAATTTATGTTAAGTTTTATTTTAATTTTATATTTTCGTCGACATTCTTTTAGTTTAATTTCATATAGTTTTGATTTTTACAACAATTATTGTGATCGAGATGTGTTTTATACATAAATTTTTACAAACAACGAATTCCACGTCAGTCTTATCTTTCGCAAGTGATGTAACCATGACTTCACCAAATATTCCAATTGGACACGCACTACAGACTCCGTACATTCCAAACACAGATCTACTCACAAGAGGACAATTCATTGAAGTAATTTATTTTTATTATAAAACTAGAAATGCGTTCAAACGAAATGTCCTCTCGTGTGACACTGTAAATAACCAATGTATACGATTGACATGTACCTACTCTGAATACGTCATGCACTCAAAGAGTCGCGTGCTGGCGACAGCGGCGCGGCGAGCGGCTTTCGTGCTCGCCCGTCGCATTCGCCGGCAACGGACACCTTCCACTACTCCACTGTATCTCTCACAACTAACATGCTCTCTGACTTTTTGTTTCTGCGGCTGGTGTAGAGCAAGGAGGCCGGCATTCGTACTCTGGTCGCTCTAGACGACCAGGGAGGTGAGTGATATGCAAGATTTGCAACACTACGTTATTTACAATTTTATATATTTCACCTTTTCATTAACTTGTTAGAGCATAGGGTTTTCAGCGGACCTGAAGACGGGTCTGTCGACGTAGAAGACACTAGGGGGTATAGCGTCGATTATGTACTTAAATTTCTTCACTGCTGCTGGATCAATGCAAAGGTGCGGGCGTCCTCTAAGACTCTCGACATATTTTCAACTCCACACACCGAGATCACGGAAAACCCACATCTTTGTAAATCTATTCTGTACTTTATGTAGCTAATATACACCACTTTGCACAACTCGACAGCGAGCGATATAGCCGACGGCATCAAGCAAGTCGGACGATTCATACAAACGATTATATCGAGTGCACCGTACTACGTATACTTATACATTTTGCATTTCAGATGTCTGTACTCGACTCTAAAATTTAACATCTTTACTTAATCACATATAAACGAAATGAAATAAATTTACTCGGATCGAAGTAAATTCGAAACGCTTCTCCTCAACGCACGACTCCTAACATCACACAGAAAAATCATAAATCATATGAAACTGAGCACAGATGAAACTGAATCTGGTTTACTTGCAAGCTTCACTGCATGCATGTCGTTGTTGACCGAGTAGTGTGTGTTAGCGGCGAGCGGCTCGGGCGGCGCCGGCGCCGAGCCCAGCCAGCATGAGGCGGCGGCGCCGGCGCCGGCCGCCGCTCGTTCGCACGCCACCGCGTTGCACGCAGCCTATAGGGCCCCGTGCCCGCCGCACGCACGCGCACGCACGTCAGCCCGCGCACCGCACGCGACGCCCGCGCACCCTCGCCGGTGCGCCCCCACCCACACCCCGATACTCCCTACGATATATTGTTTTGATTTGTATTTTATGTATAGAGCGAGGACGCCGGGGGGCAAGCGCTTCATATGTTGAGTCACCAGGGCGGTAAGAGTTAAACTGACACGTGGGTAGTCGAGCCGTGAGAACGTCTGTGTTGAATGTGCAGTTGATTAATCGATTGATCTCTTTGTTTTTCTTTGACGTTTCTCTTGATAAAGACCTATCTGAGATCGATGTTGCGTGTGTTTCTATGTTCGATGGGGATGACTTGAAAACATAGTGTAAATAGCGCCCGATGGCCGTTCGTTGCTGATTGTCGCAAAAGACTATCACTCTATCTTTTGCTGAAGATTTAATTTGTATGAGCTGCGCAACTGTTTAGTTCTTCCGTTGATATTATTGATCGGAACGCTTTTTATAGGTGTATTTATTTATCTTTCCCAATCTACTGTTCTCTTCTCTAATGACATTGCGGTATTGAAATGAATGCGCGTTTACCGAGTGTATTTGTTGGACGTATAGAGTATACGCCTCATCTCCATGGCTAGCGCGTTTAAATGTTAGACGTAGGTCTGTCACTGTTAGCTCGAGCGTTGTGTCTGCGAGGTCTCGCCCCTCGCCACACATATTAGTTTGTTCATTTCTATCTTCGTCTACATCAATATTTTGCTACATCACTTTTCATTTAGGAATGGCTTTGTGGTACGCTCATTTGCTAAATTGTTTTTATTTAATCCATTTAACGTGTGAGCGAGTCTGCCTTGGCGACGCGCTATCATTCATTTACTTTTTGTTTCCTTTTAGTTAAGTTCAGTTATGTTGAGTAGGGAGCCGCGAGGCGCACTAGCCCCACGCAATGCCACTCGCGACTCCTCACCGCACCTGGCGAGCTATAGTGACATCATTATTGTGTTGTAGAGTCACGAGGTGGGCATGAAAACCCTGGTCATGCTGGATGAACAGGGCGGTAAGCATCCAGTAGTTATATATACATCATTCACATTTAGTACAGCTTTTGTCTGAAATGCCGGTCCCGATATCTTGTGACAATTTGTGGAATGGCAATGATTTTTAACTTAATGTCGGTTGAAATATGCTAACGGTATGTTTAAATGGATAAAAAATGAAGGTAAAAATGTTCACGATCATATTTTAAAACTAGACAATAAACTGCATAAATGATTTCTCTGGTCCTACTCGCGCACCGAAATTGGACACTGAGATCTCAACAGCTAACATCATTGAGTTTACACGTAACTTTTTTGTTTTGTTTATCTCACGCATTCTAGCTGTGCACGACCTACTTCAATCTTGCTGTTAACGCATGAATTTTTAATATTTGTATTTTTTTAATAATCTAAATGTTAGTCATTTGGAATATCTTTATAATGTTGTACTCACTTAGTCTCTGCACATACATCATGTAATCAAAGGTAAAGATTATATTTTTTTACAAGCAACCAGATCAAGTGTAAGACTTAACTAAAGATATCATTTAGTGTAACGTCATTCAGATAAACATTAGACGCTTTGAGTAATAGATGTTATGGATAGAAAGCTATAAATGGAATTTGCATGGGGCTATAACTAGTTACAATAAAATGTAAATCATACAGATATTTCAATGGTCTTACACTTATTCTGGTTATTGTCGAGAGCGTTGAGAATTTACAGTAAATTAACATTTGAAGATAAAGTAACAAAAAAAAATCGCGTATTTCAAAAAGTAGGCGCTTATACACGTGAGTTAGTGGTTTTTAAAGGGCGTATGTAAAGCGTGTGTTGGTGTGTGTGGACAGAGCAATTGGACAGGATTGAGGAGGGCATGGACCAGATCAACGCGGATATGCGCGAGGCCGAGAAGAATCTGTCGGGGATGGAGAAATGCTGCGGCATCTGCGTGTTGCCCTGCAATAAGTAAGTAAATAGTAGTTTACATGTACGAATAGCTGGATCGCGATTCGCTAATTCCAAACCTGAATTAGCCAATTAACGTGTAGGATACTGCTCGGATACCGAAGGATTCATGGATGCTTCGTACTACACCTTCTGGGCTCTAACTGAGCTCTGCCTGGTGCACGGTTAAAACCGTTACATCGATAAAAACGTGCTCTATGTTTCGACTCTTTCGCATTCAAACCATACTTAATATGCCTTTATACTATAATGTAGTAAAACTTTAAAATATGAAGAAGCACCAATCATCTACAATCAATCGGTGCTTCATTCACATTAAAGTCTGCTCGTTGCTGTATGCTAAGTGCAAAATCGTCGTATTCTGCAATACTGCGTTATTTGTATAAAGACATCGACGTATATAAGTTTATTGTAGATCTAAAACTTTTCAAATTATATTTAGAAAAAAAAGGAAGTGAAAAAGTATTTACATAAATTAACACAACAACAAAAATTCGCAATTTTTTAAATTAGACTATTTTTCATTTAAATTTTTACAACTTTTGGTAATAATTCCGAAATTAACGAGAGATTTGATTATGAATTTTAATAAAATGTGTACATTTGTTGTGTTTGTTATTTGAAAGGCTCAACTCGGGACTCAGTGCGGTCACTTAATACGGTGTAACGTGAATTATTTTTAAAAAGTGTTTCAATTGCATATGAGATAGTAAAAACAACCATGATTGTATGGAAATATGGGAATAAAGATAAAAACATTAAATTTGTTCCCACTAGTCCCATGCGTGGAACTTTTGGGCTACAATATTACTCCATGTGGAACTGAGTACGTGGAACTACTGGGAATAAACCAATTCAGCTGCTGGGTGTAAATCAAACTTTGATAAATAAATGTACCAAATTATCATCAATCTGATCGCAAACTAAATACCAGAGCAACAAAATTAATTTTGAGAGCACTACTCGGCACACTCAATATGTATGTACATACACACACTCCGTCACATTTAACGAAACAAAAAGAAATTTGGTTATAAAATGTTAACGTCTAGATTTATTTAAACAAATTTTGAAAAATGTGACAGTTTAACATTGATTAAATCAAAACTTAAACTTAAAAAAAACTTTTGTATCCAACGTTTACGAAATTTACAAGAACCAAAATACAATCTCGAACAACTCGAAAAAAATGCCAGTCGATTAATTTTTTATTAGACCTGACCTGAAATTAAAAAAAAAACCGGCCAGAGCCTTTTGAAATTAGTAATCTCAGTGCAGAGTACTAAAAAAACCGACCTCAAAAGTTTGTGGAATTACATCTATTAGCCAAGTTTTATTGAAATCGATTACCGGAAAGTGGGCGAAACCAGATTCATCTCATAGTTTGTCAGCCTTAGAAGTGGAATATTTTCTTCAAATTTAAATGGGACCACTATTGGTACCTCAATTTTAGTACCCCTTTCCAACAAAAAAGAATCATCGAAATCGGTTCATAAACCTAACATACATACAAAAACAAACAGTCGAATTAAGCACCTACTCCTTTTTATGAAGTCTGCTAAAAATAGTGTATAGTGTAGTGTATATAACTTTGAGGATTTTATTAGTGTTCCGCTAAATATATGGTTATAGTTATAGAAAAATTCGTTTTCCAAGTTCTGTATAACGAAGCGGACAAAACCTTTGATTATTCAAACTACACTATATACTATAGTCGAGTGCCTTGCACACCGGTTTTCATGGTGTCGCCATCTCTGAGGTCCTGGGTTCGATCCTCGGTCGGTCAATGTAGAAAACTAACTTTTGTGTATTGACCCGGAGTGTGGTGCTTGTGATACCGTCGTTGTTTCCGATTTCCATGACATAAGTGCTTTAGCTACTTTATTTGGGATCGGAGTAACATATGTGATATTGTCTAATATTTATTTAATTAGTTTTATCGGGTTGTCTAATTGCTTAATTGATTGGAACCTATAACTAAATATAGGTTCTAATCATGGCAAAGGTTTTAATTTAAGTCGTGTTATTCCAGGGGAGCCTCTTTCAAGGAAGACGATGGGACATGGAAAGGCAATGATGACGGCAAAGTGGTGAACAACCAGCCGCAAAGGGTGATGGATGAACGTAACGGCATTGGACCACAGGCCGGGTACATTGGCAGGTTGGTATCATTGTATAATTCGCGCCTCTAGTGTAGGTAATAAGGCCACATCTGCAAAATGACAACATTTCAGGACCCCAAATGTGCTAATTTTCTTAAACCATCGGTGGTTGTCATTGACCTACCAACAAATGGACATCGGGTCTAATACAAAAACTACGAAAAAAATATCCGAATTTAACCTATATAAACGTAGTGACATGTAAGGAAATATAAAAATCTAAAACATTTAATTTAAATTGTAACGTCATTGCAGTACTGCCTAATTTTGTTTGCAACAATTTAAGGGCCCAAAAACACCATATACAGCTTCTCCTGGAAACTTAACAAAATGCACCATATTTAGCTTCGACTGAAAATTACTTGAACACAAGAGTAATGGAGTAGCCTTTCTCCTAAATATTAATTAATTATTATATATATTATTATGTCGAATTTTGTACAAATTCACTTAAAGATATAACAAAGAGTTGGGCAGATACATAGCTACAAATATTACTACAAATGTGAAAATAAGCGTGTACTATAACAAATGTACCGATATTCCAACTAAACGTAAACTCAAATATCCGTAATTCCGAAAACCGATTTATAATAAAACCGTTACGTTTTGAAGTAATTTTGATGCATCTCACAAAGCCAAAATTAGCTTTTGTTTTTTAATATTCCTAAAAAAATACATTTGACATTATGAAAACTCGAGCCTTAGAGGATGGAAAGTTTCCATAGTCTAAGACTCGAGCTAACGTTATTTCGGGCAAATGTATTTTCTGACTTCTGATAGGTAATAGTAAAAGCTAGCCGTGAAACGAGTACAACAATGTTTTGTTAGTTATTGCTAACGTTTAATAAAAAAATCATTCAATCAAATGACCAAGAAGTTTGTATAAGCTTCTTTAAATTGACGTAATGACGAAAGAGACCCCTTTCCATCTCTTGCGCATGCAATGTGTAGAAAAAGGACAGTTAGCTATTTGATTATTTTGTGTGTTTTTGTAATTTATATTTACGTGTCATTTACATATAAATTAAATACTATAAAACTGAATAAAATAACACTCTTAAATGAGAACTATGATAACACAATATATTTGTTTAGTGAAAATATGATACAAAATCCTGTTTTTACACTTTACTGCAATTTTTACAAGTTATTATTAAATGGTACTGCATGATTGACAACCGCGCTGTCAGTCGAACAAACGGAGACTGTTGCGCGATTGACGCTCTGTATGCGATTTTAACGCCCTACAGGTGCGGACACTTTTTAACGCGAACCCGACGTCTATTTATTGGTAGGTCAATGGTGGTTGTATTCTATTAAGACTGCATTAAATCAAAATCAAAGAATAATTTATTTCATAAGTAAAATAAATTTACACTTGAAAACGTCACATAAGCTACTGCTCACTCACTACGCTGACTTCCCTGAGAAAAACGAGCAAGAAACCCTAGAGATTGCTCTTTTCAAATAAACTTAAATGAAATACAATTTGAATCAAATTTGTGTGGATTTTGGAGCCATGTCGTCTTTCCATACATCTTTATCTAACACGTAGTCTTCAATTTTGTAATATGACTTTTATATCAAAATATTTTTAATGTACTTTTTAAACTTAGGAAATGATAATCTTAATATACTCAGGAATTTTATTGTAAAAACGTATACTGTTCCCCATAAAAGAATCGTTTACCTTGGTTAAACGAAATCGTGGTACCATGAGTTTGGACTTAGCTCTAAGGTTAACATTAGAGATATCTCCTTTCTTATTGAAATTATGTATATTTTTACAGGCATATGAAATATTTGAGTAAAATGTACTTTGATGCCACAGTCATGATACGATAAACCATAAACTTTTCTCTGAGAGAAACCCGAGAGCCTAAACGGTAAATAGAACGAATCGCTCGTTTTTGCAATACAAATATGGTTTGAATATATGATGCTTTGTCCCACATGAGATCATATTGCAATTATGATAATATTTGTTATTCTGCTAAAATCTAGTTGGAATGGCAGTTGAATCTCAACGGCAGCGATGGCATTATTTTTTTTTAATATCAAGTGATGGGACGAACAAAATGCGTATTGCATGAACAAAATGCAATACTTCCTTTGGACTTTTATATTTTTTAATTTTAGTGAAGCGACGTGCTCTTTAGCTCTGATATTTATCGTGCCAACAGATTATATAACGAAGATTATTCAAGTTGATAAATTTTGTGACCTGTCTAATAAGTTATAATGAAATTAAATAAATTATAAATAATTATAATTAATTTTGTTTTGTTTATTATAATAAATTGTCGGATTTTTCTCCATATGAACGGGAATTATCACTTGAATCCTCATTAACATTATTATGTATTCTTGAGTACACAAATTGTCACATGCGACATCACGATTCCAATCAGACAGTATCTTCTTTTTGGAACCCGCTCACATTCGCAATTAGAACTTCTTCATAAATAAAATCGATTATTATAAAAAAATCGAATCGGAAACGCATTAGGACATCACTAATTGATTAGAATTCGAGCTGTCAAATTTAAATAAATGGTTGGACCTTAGAATATGGAAACAAAAGGACATGTTATATTGACATATATAAATCACACCTTATATGTATATGATGCATTTAGACGTTGCATGCAGTTTAACTACTGCGTGACATCGTAAGCCAAAAGAGATGGCACTACATTAATTTATGTCAAACACGGGAATCGAAAATACGTAACATCATCTTAAATGCCAACTGTCCTCATTTTGCCATTTTGTAGTACCCTTTGATAACTGTTTCCGGTTATCAAAGGGAAGTACATCAAATGTCAAAACCAATGTTTGGTCAAATGTTTTAGTGAATTATTCCCATGAATGGTAATGAAATGGACAAAAATAATGACAATGAGAACAATTAAATATTGATAAAAATGCGTCGCTGCAGCATTAAGGGGTGCGGCAATAGAAAAAGCGGAAATCAACCGAATGTTACATTACACGTGCCTGCATGTGTTATTTTTTGTCTATACATCATACAGTAGCCCAAATAACTCATGTAATTGGACTCATTTAAGTAGTTTATTCATAAGTCTTGCCGAATTTTGCTTTGGTTACTTCACATTGCCTGTTTGTTAGTATATTTTGATGATTGTTGATAACGAAACTTTTGAGATAGTGTTGTTCTAGTAAGCAGACATATTATCGACATTCTGTTATTAACACGATTCACTGCGAGGTTTTTATTTTTTCATTATTATTATTTTTATTTTTAAAGTTTACTTACAAATGAAAAAAAAAGAAAGAAAGAAAGAATGGTTGGAAATTATAGGAATGCCGAACATAAACATTGGATCAAATACCATCTTCGTTTGTTCGCTCCGTTTTGAAGAGTCAAATTTTAATAGTACTTTGAATGTAACTAGATTACATGATAATGCAATTCCATCGTTACATTTATTGGTAAATAACTTTATATTTAATTTTGATTAAAATGCCTCATTACTTGCCTAGTAATAATAGCCTAGCATTAATCATACTTTGATTACAGTAAACTATACAAATTTGCAAACATAAAACAGTTTCAACATTCAAGCCATACTTTTGCATGTCGATATTGACTTATCTATGATTATGGTACAACACTAAATCCGCCATAAGTGTGGTCCAATTTTGGTTTAGAGTAGGTACGTTTATTCCGTAGATAGGGCAGCTCCTTTCCTTTACTTTTTTTTCATCCTCTAAGGGTTGGACGGACTATAACGCGGCGATAAAAGCTGAAAAAACCGAATATAAAAGATCTGTAACCAGATTTTAAATCACGGTCATGCTCGTGTTCCCTCCATTTTATGACTAATAATTGTTCAATGTTTATATACTAATTACAGTTAAGAATAATAGAAACTGGAAACGCCTGAAAATAAAGACTCACGTAAATATTTGGCAGTGGAACACTACTTTATTACTAAATATTAATAAGTATTGATAGGTGTCACTTATTGTTAATGAATGATTACGTTTTAATAATTGTTTGCGTCTTGATCTTGCTACACAAACTATCCTGATAATGATGTTAACAAGTAAAGAATCTTTTTGACATTTTAGTTTATGACAATGCCTTGATTGCAAATGTGTAGAAATGACTAACGCGGTGTCATATTTAATGTGCGGTATTAACCGTACAATAATAATCACTTTTTTTCTATCTTTAATCAATTTAAAATAAGGAGACGATTCTCAATTCGACTGTACTTTTTTATGTATGTTACGCGATAACTCGGCCAACTGATTTTGATGATTTTTTTTGTTGGAAAGTGGGTACATCAGTATAGGTCCCATTTAAATTTGAACAAAAAATTTTCCACCTCTAAAGGTGGCAAACTAAGGATGAATCCGGTTTCACGCACTTTCTAGTAACCGATTTCTATAAAACTTGGCAAATAGATGTAATTCCACGAACTTTGGAGGTCGGTTTTTTTAGTACTCTGTACTGAGATTATGTGACACAAGTTTTTAGTAGCACTAGAACTTCTTGGGAAAGAGTTCGTCCAGGGAAGTACTGCCATTCGTCGTGGTGAATGTTCACCGATCCCACGGCGCCGACTCAACCGGCGAGAAGTAAAAAAAGGACTTTCAACTTATGTCTCAGTGTGACGGGCGCAGTGGCATTGTCCCACATATGTGTGCAATTTAAAGCTCTAGTGGCACTGCACCTGCCATGGACATGCGTGTTGTTTACCACCGGGCGCACAACTCGTTCGTCCCATCACTAGGTATCATAAAAAAACCTACACGGGCGGGGCATCGAAGAACATCAAAGGCGTTGTGCTCCTGCAGGAAAGATATTGTAACGCACTAGTTTTCATTGTTTCAAACTTGGTTTCCAGAATAACTAACGATGCGCGCGAAGACGAGATGGAAGAGAACATGGGTCAGGTGAACACGATGATCGGCAATCTGCGTAACATGGCGTTGGACATGGGCTCCGAATTGGAGAACCAGAACCGGCAGGTCGATCGCATCAACCGCAAGGTACGTCTCATTTATACAGGAGGTTTGGATGATTGGCGCGTGAGTTCGTTGACCCCTGGTCCAAATAACAAATACAAACAAAAGACTATCGGATAGTTTTACCCGTTTTGATTTGGCAGTCTTCAAGAAACGACTTTGAACTTTACAATTTTAATATGTTCGCTACTTCAAAGACCAGAATGGGCTTTAAGTTAGCGTAAGAAAGACCGTATCACGTTTATTCTCGTTTTTGACATCACGTGTACAAATATTAATATGTATCCACTAACAAGAGTGATACGTATATCCTGTTAAAGTGAACTTGAGGCTTTGTCGTTGCTCTTTTCTATATCTCGACATTAATCGCAAAGAAAAGATAAAATAGTGTCAAAGTTACTTGTACAGATTGTACACGGTGGTATTATACATACGAGTACGTATAAATAACCGGTATAATACATACAAACAAAAGCTTGATTCTCTTAATAGCGAGTGTGGCAACAAGTCTTTGATCTTGAATAACGGTCTTCTGTGCATTAGTGAGATTGGATGAGAATAATAAATTATAAAATAATTCGCAGGAATTTAACAAAGTAGGTCAACGGACTTGCTTGCTTTGTGATTGATTTTAAAAATTTACTAACTAATGATTGTTTTTCAGACTTTGAGATCAAATTTTAAATTCCAGTTCAATGTATCTTGACCCAAAATGGACCTGCACTTTATGTTGACTATGTTTACAATATATAAGTAATTAATGTTGATATTGGAATTTTGAATATTGATCTCAGTTTTGATTTCAATATTTGTCGATTTTGTGTGGAGACTGTGCCAATCAACATTTTGGCATATTATTCTGTTTCATTACCATTCCACCATGGTTTATGCCCGACAAATTAGCAGTGAAGTGTTAGAATTGTCCTTGTTTCTTTATTCTATGTGTCTCACTGTCCTATTTTCTGCTTACTGGCCTTCGATTCGCGGTCACTTGCTTACCTTCAATATTCCATAGTTTTTCTCCTCTCCAGCCGCATGATCTTTTCCTTTATCCTTTGTAGTGAATGCGGGTAGAATTTATTGTTGTATCCTCTAAATGTTGTCCTACTTTGAAACTTCATACATGTCCACTGACAATCCAGTACACAAACACGGTCATCTGTACCGAATGACAAAATAGATGTCATCCATCGGACTAAGGGTCCTTCTTGAGTTCATCACCTACATGACCAACCATTGTCGCATAACATGTGTCATACGTTTCAACTGACAGCGTCTGTACTGACTTACTTCACACACATTGTACAGTCGCTGCGGATTGAACAAGGAAACAATATCGGTGTTCTGTATCTTAGGGGGAATCGAACGATATGAGGATAAAGCAGGCGAACGAGCGCGCCCACCAGCTGCTGAAGTAAACGACTCCGGCACACACACCCACACCACACATACACGGTCTCGTGGTCGCGGGTAGCCCGCCGGCAGTGGACCCACTGACCTTTCCTGCGATGTCCTATTACTCTCTTATATGTTAAGTTTTCTGTAATTCAACATCACTCTAGCAATCGGCTATTAATAAAAATTGGATAAAAATAACTCATTGAAGAACACTCTCTTTTCTTGTTGATTAGTAACTTTGTGGCTTAATTTTTTTTATCAAGCTTTACAAGCAGTTTACAAATAAAACAGGTGCTTTTCATCAATAATGTATAACATCAAATTTTAATGTACAGAAATTTATATGTTTTACTTTATTACGTTTTCCAATTAGAAACATTATGTATAAACCAGCAACGCAGGTTGGAAATTAAGATACGTTAGCGAGGGATCGCCGGCGCCCTCCAAAGTCCACCGGTTGCAATGTCCATATAACCTCTTCCATTACTACGCAATTGCGTTTGATTAGGTGCATCATACTTTTGTAGCCAGTATGCTAGCTTATCATTGTACTAATAAGGACAGCGCAACCGGAGATATTTATCTTTAATATCTTTAACAATTCCTGTATTTCGCTTAGTGTCTCATAGACTTTGAGATATACTTATTCAAAATGTATATTTAAGATCTTTTCACCACACTATAAGCATGCTACTGTATTAAGTGAACACTATGCTTTGAAAAATCTTGAGTAGATACCTTCCCTTGTCTCTTTTAATTCTAAAAATCGCTCAAGATTCCTTAGGTTCTATTAAAAAAGTAAGTAAATCCAGACAGTTCTTTGGTGCTCATTTTGTGCAGTAGAAATGTGACAAAAAATATCTTTTAGTGACAACCGTCTCATATTATAATATTCTTAATCTCTTATTGATACTTTTTACTTATAACTAGATTCATAGGACGTTTAAAGCGATGAGATTGTTTATTTTGAGAAATTGCATTTACCCATTGTTAACAATATAATGTAACTGTTAATATTGCTAGAAAACACGAAAATGTTAAAAATATATTGCTTAATAATATAATGTGTTATTGTTTTCAAATTTGTTATTGCAGGCATTTTAAAAAAATGCATATTTATGCCACACATTTTCTTTTCGCGCGACTCATTCGGTGTTAATTATTCGATGAAATAGGTATTATAATAAGAGGACGTATAAATGGTGAATTTGCTTGGAGCGAAAGATATAAGATTATGTGATAATAGTTCGGAAATAAGAGATTAGCGTCATCTATTGACAAATCTACGAGAACATTGAAATCTGAATTGCATCAGAGCTCATCGTTGATTTTTAACATTTCATAGGAGCATTTATGTTTTTGAACGAAGGGACGTATATACTATGACCATTTATCACTATATTTATAATCTTTTTTTATGTCGAAACTTAGTAACATTTTTCAATGCCCTTAGAAGTAAGCTATATTCTATTTTAAACATTTATGATATATAGGTTGACTCACGCACTCTGTGTGAAAGTGACCGTGAAATTGCATAGATAAAAATCATCTACTCAAACTGTAGGAGTCTTTAAGGTCTTCCTTATAATACTGTTTAGGACTAAAGGATTTATAAGAAACTGCTTAAAACAGTTCTTTTGTTTAAACCAGTTTGATGAGGAATAGAAGTATAATACACGCAGACAACAGCTGAAGAACAATTTGTAAAGAAAGACAAAAGTAAAATGACCCGATGCCCTCAAATCTGTCGTATAGAGATCTCAGCTAAATTGGTTTTTGAATTACGCCAAAAGTTCTACGGACTTGTGTTAAATCAGAAATTGGAAAAGGAGGTCGATCGTAGTAACTAATAGCTATTATATATGGCATCTAAATATATATTGCACATATCTTTACAATAAACATATCTGCTTCTATGAAATAGTCTGCATATAATGAGTATTTATAAACTCTTAGCTAATTATTATAATAGGTATAAAGTTTTATTATTTATATCGTTTTATTTAGAAAATAAAATATTTTAATTTTATAATAATTTTTCTTTACCCTATTGCTGCTTGTGATAACTTTATGTTCGTTTTTGTATGAAAAATCAATATATAATTTATATTAAAAGTATTTTATATTAGAGTTACATATTCAAATTAAGAGCAATGTATAAAACAATGCAATAAGTAGTGAAATTACTAAATATACTTTAAGTAATAAATATGATAAGTAATATTATTTCTCTCTCTACATGTACTCAACATCGAATACAACCTGTATGTAACAAAAAGTAAATTATCTCAAAATTATGTAAACTTAAAATAAAAATTGCATTACATGAAACCTATGTTTCCAAAAAAAAAAACTTTATTACGTAACAACAAATTAATTCCATTAATAATCTTGAAGATAAAGAACAAACGTGTTAGAAAAAATATTTGGTTTTTACGTGATCGATAAGAACATGTTTTTTATTGGTAATTCCTGAACAATATTAATACCATAATAAATTAAACTATGCTACACTTTTTGAGGTGCTTTATACACGTTAGTGATGTTAAGTGGTTTCAATCCGTCAGAGCCAATAGTGCCGGGAAGATTTTGTACACAGTATGTTTGGTTAGGTAATATTTTCATTTATTTATTTGGATTCTATAAAGGGCCAGCGCAAACCGGCGGACGAAAAGGTATAAACATTAAATTTATCAATGTTTATATTTTATCCTATTTCAATTGACATAGGAATAAATTGCAATAATCTGAGACGAGAAATGGGAAAAGAGCTCAGGTTTTAAAACGGCGCTTTGTTAACGCTTGGTTTAAATCGGGTTAATACTCATTAACGCCAGAAATCGGCGGCAAACGCTTTTACAATTAAATATATAATTTGTTGTTAAGTTTTGTTTAAATTTAATGATATTAGCATAAAATGTTTATTGCTTTCTGTTCTAGACGATTTGATTTGCCTTTTTATTGAAAGACATATTGAAATAAATCGATACAAAAAGTCGTTAGATCGTATACACTTCAATCGATCTTCATAAAAATCAAATCGTTGTCTGCACCCTTAATGGTCAGAATCCACAGGATTGCAAGGTGGGTACTGTGTTGAGTTGCCTCTTTTTCGCCTAAAAAAGATTCTTTACATCGAAATTTGTAATAGGTATGGAATTTATACCACATTCCGTATTTGTCATTTCCGCCCACATATTTAAGAAGAAATGGGTTAAAACTCGGCACTTTGGATAAAAACCGCAGTTAAAAACCGACCTAGTTCATTACTTTTATCCCACTTCCCGTCACGTCTGAGCGATATTGGAGCATCGCCGCGCGTCACATTATAAATTAATATACATTGATACATTTATTGCGAAGTTTGCGAAGGCTATAGGTGTTATTTTTTTATGTATTGTTTGTTCTAATGGGGCTGACGTGTTCAGTAATGTTCAAAGCCCCTAAGCAAATAGAGTTTTAAAAAAGAACAACAGGGACGTCATTTTCTGCATTATGATAATTTATGTCACTGACACGTGTTTGAACGGCCTCATTCATTTTTTGCTACATTTCGCGGCATTAATGTGCTGCTTCCACCTGGCTCCACCAATCTCCGTCGCCCTTACTCGCGGACGTAAGTCCCTGTAGACAGTGTTTAAAATGGCATATATACCATCATACCACACCACGAGACTTACACTCCCACACTAACAGAACACACAATACATCGGCGTCAACCGTGAGTATGCTTTTTTTTTATAAGTGGGTTATTGACGTCCAAATCGGAAGACTGGAAATTCATTTTTGTGGTTAAAAGTTATAGTATCTTTGTTTCATTAAACAATCAATATACTTCCTAAAACATTTAGGAAGTGAATAGAACACTTTTTTTTATGGAACTTACTATCTTGTAAATCCTATTAGGTAACGAGGTATGTGAACCTTTTAGTTTGTGGTGAACATCATATTATAAGGATTGTTGATACACTAAATGTTCTATTCTAATCCATTGTACGTTGCACTCTGGATTAGGTATTTCTTTCACAATTTTTAACCACAAAAATGAGAATTTATTCAACTTGTAAAGCGAACGCATATCGCAGATACTATGCAAAAATAATTAACGCACATACTTCGCTTTCAAATGGTTTTTGATAATTGGCTAAACACACTTTGAATATTTTGGCACGGCTTCCGGCCTATTAAACGAAGCTTAAGTGTGATTTTTTTATCAAAGTCGAAATTTTATATTTAAAAATATGTTACGATGAAGTATAAGTTAGCCCCACCCCGTATTTACCTTGAAACTTGCAAATTCTCTATTGTAATACGTTCCTACATCTTCTTAGATCTTTTAAGCAGTTATTTTTTATTAAACCAAAGCTCTAAATACGGCATTCATATATTTAAAATAAACAAATTTATTTCTACAATTTAAAACAAAAAAAAATTTAAAACTAAAATTTTCCACATACAGGGAAATTTGTAAAGCACTAACAATTTCGCTGAAGTATTAGTAATATATACATCATGAACAATAACTTTTGCTCCATCACTTTTAACAATTCATCAAATTTTACTTTCATACAAAAATATTAAAATAGCTCGCCCTAATCGGTGATAATTCTGTGCGGTAGCAAAAAAAAGGACCCACTACCAAAATTACTTTTATGAATATGATATGACAGCACGAGGTAGGGTTTGCTAAAAAACAGATCCAAAAAGTGCCAGATAGTACAACAAAAACTTAAAAGTTTTATTTTTAGTCAATTTGTTATGTTCTGTAAAAAGTCGTGGAATATAAGTTGTTGTTTATGATATTAGTAATATAGGACTGCGAGATTGTTAGTATTTTAAAAGTAAACCTGTATAGCTGTTAAGGGATTTGTTTGGGAAATAATAAATATGATTTTTTTAGAGGCGGTTTAGTTTTAATAATAGCAATGCCCGTGTTAAAAGGTTTCGGCCTAATAAATAATAACCGGCACTTTGCCACTTTTTACAGTTAACTTATATTTAATCGTTCCTATGTTCTCCTCCGTTCCGAAATTAATTAATTCATTTAAAGGCTGGCTTCTTTGCGCCCTGAAATGACGGCGATATTAACTTTTTATATCAATATTCGATGTTTCTTACAAAAAAACGCAACTTCACGAGGGTCAATACTTGTAAGCCTTTAATTGATAAATACAAAATGTAAATATTTAAATTAGGGTTTTTATTTTATTGCTTTGTCTTTTTTATTCTTTGTTCTTTTGACTTTCTTTATTCTTTATGTAATATTGTTTTCTTTTTTTCCTTTATTATTTATTTTTGGGAATATTTTGTTTTTACTTCTGTCTTCAATGTCTACATTCCATTGTGATGGTTTCTATTTACTTTTTTATAACCTGTCTCTAATTATTCTTCAAATAACATAATATAAAATCATTAAAAAATAAACTCACATTTTACATTTAGATATTTGGATTTATGGCAACTTTATAACAAAGATTTAACTATTAAAGACTAACATGTTAATTTTGAACCCTGAACTGGTGACTCTATCATCATTGTTCATATTCACTAGACTTAAGCCCAGTTGTCACGTTACGAGCGCGCTCGAACCGAGTTCGCTCAGATACCTGCTCCGGATACCTGTTACTCAGATCATATAAACACGTGATTCGCGTGTTCACGGATGTGTTGGGTGTAATGATAGAAGGAGACAAATGATACTCGATTGAACGTGTCAACTACTTTCCAAGTACACTCCTATATGACATAACTCGTACGAGCGCGCTCGCACCGAGTGTAATGTAATGTGAAAACTCGGCTTAAGATAAATTAATTTCTCTTTATTTTTTTAAATGCTGAAATTAAAAAAAAGTCTTATTTCCTACTATGACAATTGAAGTATTTACATTTGACCTTTATACGCAATCTTAGCTCCATTCAAACATTCGTACAATATTCCATGTTAAGTTGCAATAAATTCAAAGTCAACTTTATTAGTGAACATTTGTGTAACAATTTGATTTGTTATGTCCAATAGGGCGAGAGCAACGAGACGCGCATAGCGGTGGCAAACCAGAGGGCAAACAAGCTGCTCAAATCTTAAGCACGTCATTTACCTTCAGATGTTTTCGGTAATATGATAATGCCAAACGTATACACGCATAAATAAGATACAAAAAGTCATGATCTATTCGAATCACAGGTTTGTCGCTATAAAATATGTTAATGAATTTGTGATTTTCGAAAAATCCTCTAAATGTTGTTCTAAAAAACAACTTTAACTTATTAAAAACTTGAAGTGGGTACGTTTAGCAATTGTCATGTAAGAATATGTAGACAGCATTGAAGAGGAAATGCTTGTAAAGGTTTAATTATAACACGTTGATGCAATAATCTTTGAGTAGTACGTTTCCTCGATTCGTGGCAATGAATTTTACTTTAATTTTTAGAGTAGGAATTCTGTCGTCTGTATTTTCCCATCTAACAGTTTAGGCTGGTACGCACCTTAGGTAGCAATGGTGCTATTGGTGCTATTTTTTTGTCATGAATTTCCCCCTGATACTTGGCGGCGGAGTGACAGAGAAATAGCAAACATTGCATCTGCCTCACTAAAGTGCAAACGAGTTTAAAATGTCACAATACTGTATGGTAGATAGTCCTACACAGATATTTTAAAAAAGTGAAAATATAATTTTAAGGGTCCTTTGTTATCAAGAATATAAAGTAATTTACGTTTTACACTTTTTGAAAAATGTATTCAGTTCACTGTTTCATTGAAGGTGAAAACATGTTCGTGATCATTTTAATACGCCCCTAAAATTTCAATTCTCTCTTTCCAAAACATCTGTAAAAAATGTCAACATACTTGCCCATTTTTTAGTATTATGCAAGGTATGTATGTGTAAGAGAATGTCCGTAAAATTGAAATGAAGGCCTAAAAAGTTAAGTGTAGGTCATATCATAAGGAATTAAATTATTTGCTTTAGCTATCAACATATCGTTGCTTAGCA